GCTTTTGTAGAGGACATCTCAAGCTTTCTATAATGGTATGATAGGTCAAAATTCAAGTTTGTTGAGGCCTTAAAACAATATTTTATAATTTGATCTAGAAAATTAATCTGAATCCTACATGAAATTCAAGACCAATTGCAGATTTTAGTTCATATATGGAGTTTTAGAACCTTAATTGATACAAGGATAAGCTCATGGAAACTCATGGAAGCATATCTAAAATTCTTATGAAGGGTTTGAGTCCAAAATAGGTCTATTTATAGAAGGAATTTAGTTACAAGGTTGAATTCCTAAGTTTGGACGGACTCGGTTGAGTTACTTATGCTTATTAGCCCATAACTTGAGTTATGGGCCATTGTTTGATGCAAGGCGTGGTATGTTGAAAAGTTAAGGAATAGGGTTGTAACTCTCCTAGAGATAGGAAACTATAATTTGGCACATATCTAGCAGCAAATGCAAAATAGGAAATCAATAAAGCTGATTTTTAGGAACGGTTACGATTGTAACTATATTTTCCTGTCTTTTAGGATTAAATAGGACTAGGAAAAGATAGAAACATCTCTTTTTCTTCTTATTCCTTTTTTCAATTTTTCTCTAAAATTATCGGATGTTTTTACATACATGTTTGGCTAATTTCTTTTGTCAATTCAAGGGTGTTTCAATTTATTAGTATAATTGTGAGATAATATTCTTAATCGTAATTATTTTTCTATTCAAATATTTTTTTTCTTGATTTTATTTGCTTATAACTCCATGATGCTATTGATGGAGATGCATATTAATTGATTGAATTGTATGGTCTAATGCTAAATTGAGTTTATAATCCATAATTGTAATGAAACTTGACTAAAATAGCACTTAGGGAACACGATTATGATCCAAGTTTTTGTTGTTTGTTTAAGGAAATAGAGAATGAATTAAACAAGTTATGCTAGATAATTTTATTGTTTATCATTAGCTTCTTCCTAGAACAAAATGATATTATTAATGCGAAGAGGATTGCTTAATACCAAATCGGTTAGTAATAAGAATTTAGTTTGGGTACTAGGTTCGAATTAATGAATGGAGGGAAAATTAGGGTTTACTTAGCTTGGAGATAAATCTTGGTTAATTATTTGAATAGACACACACACAATAAGTGATTAGTTTTCAACTATGAGAAATTCTTCCTTGAATCAATATCATCTTCATTAAGTTTTCTTTATTGCTAAATTTCATTTGTTTAAAAGTTATTCTTATGTTAAGTATTTCCAAAACAAAACCCCCTCCTTTTTGTTTATGTGATTTGATTTATTAGTCCTTGTGGATTCAATCATTTCTCATCTTATCTACATTTTAGAAACAAGGAGTAAGGTAAATTATTAGTATTATTATTATTATTTTACGTTTGACATGCATCAATATGCTAAAGTAAGAATAGAAAGAAAGCTAAAAAAAAAAAAAAATCCTAAAATTGAAACTCAAAAGTCTAATACTAGAAACTAATATGTTGGGTTGGATGATTTTTTTTCTATGTAATTTTGACTTGACTTTGTAATATGGAGCCTTTTATGTTTAGTTTTTGTGAAGGTTATTTGATGTGTTTGTCACCAAAATGGAAGTTTTGGTTAGAACTTGTCAATATATAGCAAATTAGGTTCCACTTTTGTATTTTGATATTTTGGCAATGTGCAAGGATTGATATTTTTACATAATTATTCAATACACAAGATAGATTTTAGATGTTTGATTATATCATTCTATGCCCATTATCATGATGATATTGGAACATTATTGTTTATTTCAAAATTACATATGAAAAACAAAGTTAAATTATAGACAATCATAATCAAGTTGTGCTTCATTAATAGGAAGTTGATGACATTTCTTTAGGGTTTACACTTGAAACAAGCCTAAGAAACTACACTTCATTAAATTTCAACAACTACATAACATACTATCTCATTTTTTTCTTACCTAAACTACCTAGAAAAACAATAAAACAACCAATAGTCTTGATATCAGCAACAAAAGAACTAGCAATACAATTAAATTTAAAGTCCTATACTTCATCTGAATCTCCTTTTTATTTCATCAAATTCTTCTAAGAGTAGCTCAAGTATTATTTATCTTGCTCAATCACGTATTGGTGGATTTATTCATTTAAAAAATTCACAATGTCCACCTCCATTTTACTATATTTATTCATAAGATCATTGTTCATAATAACTATCAAGTTAAGAAAACGTCAACAACAACTAAATAACTCAAGAGAGGTTTTGGACAAGCCTACAGATTTGGGTCTGTAGGGAACCTCTTTTCAGGATTGTTATATGTCCATGAAGTTCTCATAATGATTGGGTGATGACAATTATAATGTAATTCATGTTGATGAAGTCCTGTCTCTCTCTGTCTCTGTGGCATATTAGGAACGTTTTCCAAAGTTGTTATCTATCCATGAAATCCCTGTAATGATTGGATTATGGCAATTGTAATTCATGCGTCTTAAACAAGGGAAGACATAAGTTGTCTTCTTTTATTTAAGCTGAGATAGTTGTTTTGGGTGGGAAATTTCTTTCCAAGACTATTTCTATTTTATTTTATTTTAGTTGTTTTTGGTGGGAAATTTCCTCCCAAAACTATTTCTATTTTATTTTCTTTTGTTACCACGTGTTGGTAGTGAGATCTAAATAATGGTAGTACATGTATAGATAATGGACACACCAATATAAAGCTAGTGGAATTCTTCAAAATAAAGAAAATTGCAAGTTAATCTATTCAAATGGTAAAAACTAAAATTTACATATTCAAATTAAAAAAATTGACAAATTTGAATATAAAAAATATAATTAACTCAAAAAAAGGGCAGTAATCGTTACTTTTTTGTTACTTAAAGAATATTATATTTCCGATTCAGATTATTATAAAATAAATGGTAAGTAATTCGATTTCATTTTACCATAATATAGAAATATAAGATACAACGCAAATGAACTATAGTAGCTCAATCAGCGCTAGCTAACGTGCTCCTTATATATATATATATATAGGCAAGACAAGATTCTTCATTCTCAGTCTCACAATGATTCTATTATTTGTCAACTTCAATTCTTTGATGACCTTGACAATTAAGTTTGATAGTATCGCATCTGTCGGCAAAGTGCAAACTGAAAAATAGGAAAAAGCACAATGTTTTCACTATTAATTGAACCAAATAAAGACTCATAAGTTATATCTGACTTGAAGCCTGTTAGTTTAATTTATTAATTAACATCTTCAAACTCAAATTTGATGATACCTTAAAGCAATCATGAAGAGAGATATCACTTATCAGGGGTTGGGTCTTCATTGATTCTAACAATTAAGCAGTACCTTACCAATGTACTTGTAGGAAGTTTATAGTATATGCGTATGAAAGAAGAAGAACATAGACAAAAAATAAAAGGGAACTCATTTTTTTCATTACTTGCAGAGATATGTTTATAATGATACAAAAGTATAAGTCAATATCAAATTTTCATAATTTAAGGAAATTTGTTTCCTTGTCTAAAGCTGAAATTAAGTTCCACCACAAGTCATTCAAACTTCAGGTACATTCATTAATTGTATTACAAAATATTCAAAAACAAAAGGAACAAAATGCGGTGCAAGATCCGGTGCATGGCTTTGTATCGGTACGTGATCATGAACTACAAGCTTCATCACTCCTTGATGCAAGAGCTATGCATAACACCAAGCTTGCCTCTAAGTTCTTCAAATGTTGCTTTGATCAAATTTTTTGTCTTTACCTCTCTTTGAATGAGGGCCTCTCTTTGCATCATTAGTCCGCATTTTTGCTCTTTGGGATGCAAAAAGTGCATTTTCAGTTGAGCCTTCTTCTTCTCTAAATGCTTTTCTTTGTTCAACGACTTGTAGAGCACTTACAAGCTTTGCGAGAGAAAGTCGAGATAAATCCCGTGCATTTTCAAGTGAAGAGATTTTTGCCTCAAATCTTTCCGGAAGAGTTACCATTACCTTCTCTATAACTCTTCTTTCGGTAAGTCCTCACCTAACAACCTTACTTGATTAACAATTTTCATAACTCTATCAATGCACTCCTTCACATTCTCGGTCTCTTTCATCCCGAGAAATTCAAATTCCTTTCTTAAATTAAAGATCCGCATCTGTTTTGTCTTTTCACTTCCTTAAAATTCGACTTCGACTTGTCCTAGACTTCTTTTCTTGTCTTGCATGCCATAATCCTTGTGAAAATAGTCTCATTTATCGCTGAATGAAGACTACTCAAGGCTCTAAATTTTCTAGAGACCTTTTCTTCATACATTCTAAGCTTATTCAAAGTTGGATTGTCCGACAATTCGGCTTCAAAGTCCGATTCAATAGCTTCCCACGAGTAGCGGACCCCTAAGATATGCTTCCATCTTCACGGACCACACATGAAAATTTTCTCCGAGTGAAGATTGGAGGAGAAAGAGCGAAATACTATCGCTTGTAGCCATCACAAAAATCACTCAAATCTGTCAAGTGTTTATGGTTTTTTAAGTGAGGTTTTCTTACTTGTTTTCTCTCACACAAAGTCCCACAAAGATCAATTGTAGCTCGATACCGGATGTAGGAAGTTTCGGTATATGCGTATGAAAGAAGAAGAACATAGACAAAAAATGAAAGGGAACTCATTTTTTTTCATTACTGCAGAGACATGTTTATAATGATACAAAAGTATAAGTCAATACCAAATTTTCATAATTTAAGAAAATTTGTTCCCTTGTCTAAAGCTGAAATTAAGTTCCACCACAAGTCATTCAAACTTCGGATACGTTCATTAATTGTATTATAAAATATTCAAAAACAAAAGGAATAAAATTTGGTACAAGATCTGGTGTATGGCTTTGTATCAGTACGTGATCATGAACTACAAGCTTCATCAGTACTTCAATAGGTATTATTTTCATAGACAAGTTGTGACTTACATAATTTGTAAACACAAACATGCAATCCAAACCCAAAAATGGAAAGCTCATATACTAGGAGTAATGCTTGGCCAAGAAGGCAGTGAGCCTGTTGAATGAGCATTCATCACAAGGCAAAACTATTCCATTTTGGTTATCAAATCCATATTCCTCTGCAGCTTTATCAAGCAATTGCTGGAAGATAGGATTCTTCAAGTAAGAAGTCGGAACAACAAACCTTTTCATTTCATTGCCTACATAAACCACAAAGTGCCCTTTTGGAGCTCGTCTTCTTCCTTCCGTCTCCACTTTCTTTGGCATCAAGATATATAATAAAACTTGAAAGAGCCAGTAAATATACTATTGCTGGTAGATAAAGCTAAGAAATGCATGAGTTGGATAAGAATATAATATAGGTGTTTCAACTATGTAAATATATAGAGGTAGGAATAGGATGTGTGACCCTTTTTTATCATGAAAGATAAGGTATGTAGTAGAGGAATGTGCTTAACGTGGACGTCTCTAGCCCTTACGTACATTCAAAGTCACATACAAACACATGCTTTTGCAGGGAGCTAGAGAGAGATGTATGATTGTGTACTCCATTAATGTAGCTGTTCTAGTTCAATGCCCCGAGTACTGCATGTGTTATCCGTCTTTGGCTGCACATGGGGTTTGTGACTTGGCAACAGAAACTTCCATACCCCACCATATACATATGTGAAGACAAATCAACCGAAAGAAAATGCTAGCAAATGAAGTTGATTGGGATATTGTCAGCTTTTGTATCTCGACGTCACAGTACTGAAACTAAAACTTGGACTGTTGCACCTTTATTGTACAGAAAATGTTTGGTAGCCACCCTTGATCTTGAATAACTTTCCACAATTCTGCGGGGATTCATCTGTATTCAGTAGTACTACTTGTCATCTCCTAGTTTGTGCGTGCATGTTAGTGTACACAGTAGAATGACCGAAGTTAATGTTAGCGAGTTAAACAAGTTTTTGTCCTGAAGTAATACTTTAATATGGTATAAGAGCGAAAAAAACATATGAGAATTTTAATCTTATCACCTTAAATTTTAGCACAAAATTGTAACACAGTTTTTGCTTCAAGGTATTAAAATATCATGTTTGTGATGGTGTAAACTTGACTTATGAAATTGTGTGGGTTTCACTGTGACTTAGTCTAGGAGACTTGATATATGAGATTTAATGTGTGGAATTATTTGATTTCATTGCCGATTTCAAAATCAAATTGTTGGAAAGAAATATAAAATTATTTTTGAAGTCTTACCTACACATTCAATATTTTAAGTTTTTGAATTAAAATAATTTTTTAATATGATATTAGAACTTTAATGACTAAAGAGTCTATTTCAAATCTCATTTCCTTCATCTTTTTTTCTAAGTATAAAATAATAATAAATATATCCAAATAAATCTTACTTAACAATTTAAATTTTTAAATTGAGATTTTTTTGTCGACATAAATGATGTGTATAAATAAGATTTTATTTCTTTAATTTAATGGTGCAAGTTAATCAAGATATAGTGGTAGTTTTTCATTTCCCTTATAGTTTTTGTCATCTCGTATTATTTTTAATAAAAGAGTATAATAGTGAATTAATATAAAATCATAGTTTTCGGATTGAAGTGATCTTTTTACCTTACTACAACACTTTGCTAAAATTAATAAAAAATATGTTTTAACTCAAAATCTTAACATATTAGATATATTACTTTATATAATCATTATCCTTGTACGACATTTTGTCCGAGTTGGAATCGGAAGAAAGGGAATATATGATAATGATTTTCATTTGTTTGGGGAAGAAAAAGTAGTTCTCCGATTAGGTGACTGACTTTTTTCTTCTCATGGATCAATCCCTATAATTAATGTACATTCTATGCAAGATCGATCCACTGAAATTATTTATTAAACACTGCACGAATGAAGGGAGACAGATTTTGGATTAGAGTATGGGCTAATTAGAGAAAAGTTAATACTATTTTTAATTTAGGTAAATGAAAAGACAAAGTTTCTATCTTTGAATAGTTCTCTTTGTATTCACACCTACCATTTACCTACTTCCAAAGGGATTATTAATTGACAATTAATTATAAAACAACATACATGGGTTCTAGCTAGGTTTTTTTTTTTTTTTTTTTTTTTTTTTTTTTGTCCCTCTCCCTCCTCTCTGTGTGTGTGTGTGTGTGTGTGTGTGTGTGTGTGTGGGGGGGGGGGGGGGTGGGGGGGATGTTGGAAGAGAATATCCGTTTTATGCTTTCCTCCTTTTTCTTTTTATTGTGATAGGGAGGAGAATCGGATAATTGGGCACCAAGCGGAGTTAATTAGCGGAAAACGATTGCCGCTAGCCGGCATACCATGCTACGTATTCGGTTAGAGGAGGTAGGTAGCTTCTAATTATTGGGTTTCCCTTCTAGTTGGAGGATGATCCAAAGGTTTGCCTACATAAGCTCAAATATTGAAGCTCATGTGGATGAAGAAGTTTTAATCACTTGAAGTGTAATTTTGATATTTTCAAATATTGGAGCCCATGTGGAGTGAGAGTCGTAACTTTAGAGGAAAGAGAGAAAAATTTTTTAGCACGGACCAGTTATGCTAAAATTGAGTTTCGGATTCGTTAACCATTGGATCGAGCTCAAATTTGGTGGATATGTTCAAGAGATATAGACGCACATTCCGAATAATGAAGATCTAGTTTTGATTCTTGAAGAGTGAGATATAATGCTCACAACAATATTATTTTTTGATAAAATGCGAACTTGCTTTCTCTTTTCTTTGTATATCATCTATTGATGTGGTTTGCCAAGGTGTGTAACCTTTGATGTTTGTGGTCGATATATTCCTCTAGTTTAATCTAGAGAAGAGTCCTTGTATTATCCATTATTGTTAACGAGTGGAAGTTATTGTGGACTTTGATCCCGTGGTTTTTCCCTTTTCAAATTAAGGAGGTTTTTCATGTAAAAATTTATGTGTTCTTTGTGTGATTGGTATTTAATTTTCATATTATTAGTTATTTGTTTTAACTTAGGTATTTGGTTATAGCTTGTGTTTGATTATTCAAGCAAGGGCAAATAGGTTCTGCTGTGTTATTTGTGTTTCTTTGTCCGACACTAATTACCATATTGCCTTTTTGACAATATTAATTATGTAGATGTCTATGCTAAGATAGAGAGAAGCAATCTTAATTTGACCAAAACCTTAAAGCCTTAACTCGTCTATTACTCTATTTGGATTGAATTCTCCCGGGAAGTTGATTAAGAAACATCACTAAAAAAAAAAAAAAAAACAAACAAAATAATGACGAATAATTTTGTCGCTATTTTAGCAAATTCTTACAATAAATCGACTTATAGGTAGATTTTCTATCGAAAAAAATCTATCCCCAAAACGCTTGTCGCTAACCTCTATGATGAAATTAACGAGTGTCTATTGCCAATTTAGTTTTGTTCCATCTAAGTTGACTCCAAAACCATTATCTTTCCACCATATAATACGTCGTAATTTCATCATAAATGTGTCTTAAACCCATCACTAAGTAAAGATGGAAAATCCATCATAATGATCCGATACTAATGTTATTCACTATTTTGTCGCTAGTCCATCGTTAACTAATGATAGTTTTTTTTTCAGTTGTTGTGGTTTCGGTAGAAATTATTTGTTTATTGTCATTTTCGTCGCCAATCCGTCATGAAATTTTTTTTAATTTTTTAATTTTAATTTTATTTATTTTTAAAAATTTTGATATTCTTAATAGTAACTACTAATTAAAAAAAAATACTATAAAAATAATTTTTTATTAAAATTAAAATATTATAAATTAAATTGAAATTCATATTAAAAAAATTATTTGTTAGTGCGTAAAAAAGAGTAAAAACATAAAGAAAATGTAAAAATCACTCTCCATCATGATCATATAATCTAATCTCATCTTCATGGGCTCGTTAGGAGGGATGATGGAGTCCTAGGGCTCATTAGAAAGGATGGTGAAATGGTCGGTAGGCAAGTGGGATGTCTACGCTAACCTATGTAACGTAACTATAATTGATGAAATCTAAGTCTTAAACCTTGGATCTTCATCTATTGCTATATGATAATGTTATTCTACTCGTCTAATCTCACTTGCATTCCCCTTATCCTCTCCTCGTACCGGCTAGGATTCGATCACCGACATTATCGTTAAGGAACTAGGATACTAAAGAGGATGAGCCGGCACCGGCTTAATGGAATAAATACTATGATGCCTCGACCCGATCCCATAAACCTTTTTTTTCTCTCCTCCTATAACTTTAAAGTATATGGTGTTCGTGTCGACCTATGGCTCCTCAATTCTAGCCTTTTGCTACTTCCTAATAATTTTCCGTATTAGCTCCTTCACACACTCTTGCATAATCAAAATAATTATAATGTAAAAAATAAAATAATTCTTTAGATTACATTTTCATATTTATAATTTAAAAATTAAAAACACTTACCATTATTGTCTAGGCTTGTAAATCGATGAAAGTCTTATCTCTTTCTATGTGAGTGGCCCCAAATAACTCTAAATTAATAGGCTTAAGTCCTAATTTGACGACCTAAAAAAATAGACACAAATAATATGAGCTATAAATATTAATTTCTTAAATATTGAATAATATACGATAGGTTTACTAAGTGATAGATGTGCTCGAAGCGAGAGATGGACCCCTATGTATGCCTAGATAGGCTTAAACCAATACCATCAATTTTCGACATCTAGTTACATGGTCGCAGTTGCAAACGCACATGATGGTTAAGCATGATAAAATCTCGGTTCCATGAATCTCATACCTCTTGCCTAATAAAAAAAGGCCTTTCATCATTTGCACCATGTGTGTGGATGAAGTCGGAGTAACGCTTCCTAGCCAAAGCCTCTCAATTATCTTTAGCTTGTGCTCGATGATCGGATCACATTAAAAATACTTCTACATGAATAAAAAAAAATTAATATTAGTTTATTTCAAGTTAAATTAAATGTAATACAAACAAATAAGTAATACGTTACCTTAAACTCATTATAGTAGAACTATTTCGAGATGAACTTTCACGTTTGGCCATCGACATTCAACCACTCCTTGACAATCATGGTTATTCCTTTATACCAATCTCTCGACACGGATGAAAACTATCGAACACCACAAAAAAAGACATATAATAATTATTGAAATGATATATTAAAAAATAATTATAAAAATTTAAGTAAATTATTTATCGATTATTAATGACCAAAACCTACGAGTCGAATATCGAACCTTCATGAACTTCCTAGATCG